GGCACTCTACCCAGGGGGATAGCTTGAGGCTCCGTTTCAAAAAAAAAAAAAAAAAGTAAAAGGCCTGAACCTAGGAACTTACCCGGTCCCTCCCTATTCTCACAACACAGGGACTGTGGGTCTAGGAGATTGCAGGGACTCCTGTTCTGACTACTCACCTGCAGAGGAGAATGGCAGACAGCCACTGTGATTCAAGAAGCTCAAGGTCAATATGACAAGAATTGTCATGATAATGGCTGATGTTTACAGAGTGTTGTCCATTGTCAGGTGCTCTGGACTGACTGTTTCTAAGAAATTCATATGTTAGAGCCTCACTCTGGGAGACGAAGGCCGGTGCAAGAATGAGATCCCATCTCTAAAAAAAATAGCCGGGCATTGTGGCGGGTGCCTGTAGTCCCAGCTACTTGGGAGGCTGAGGCAAGAGGATCGCTTGAGCCCAAGAGTTTGAGGTTGCCGTCATGACTCGAAAGCCTCAATCCCCAATGTAATAGACTATATCTGAAGATATCAGATGCTTTAGGAGGTAATTAAGATTAAACAAGGTCAAGGGTGGGGCTCTAAAACCATAGGACTGTGGCATTATACAAAGAAACAAAGAAAGAGAACTTTCTCTCTCTCCTCCTGCTACATGAGGACAGAAGGGGAAGGCCCCCCATGGGCAAACCTGGACGAGCACCTTGATCTTGGACTTCCAGCCTCCAGCACTGTGAGGAAATAAAATTCTGTGGTTCAGACCACAGGAGTCTGTGGTATTTTGTTATGGTAGCCTGAGCAGACTAACATGTCGGGCAATTGGCCAATAGCCCCGGAGTAGGTACAATTATGATCCCTGTTTTACAGGAGAGGAACCAGAAGCACAGAGCAGTTAGGTGACTTGCTGGAGGGCTGAGCTGCAACACCAGGTATGTCTAAACACTCATCATTTCTGTGACTTTGGAAAGTTAATTAATCTCTCTAAATAAACCGTCCGTAAAATAGGGATAATCCTGGATTACTGTAAATTGCAGTGGAGATTAAATGAGTCACTACCTGTCAAGTGCTAACAGGGATGTTCTGCAGCACAGTAACTCCTCACTGGTGTTGGCTGTTGTTATTGTTTCTCCTCTATCTTCAGCACTTGCCACAGATTTCATCTCCAGCTTCAGCCCTAGTCACAGTCACTCTGGTGTCCCTAATTTTACACTTCCTGTCTTTTCCTTTCCCTTTGAGGTCATAGCTCATTGGACTAGGGTAGACCCCTGGCCTAAGGAGTCAGCAATTGGATTGCTCTCCTAGGCTGGGTGTAGTGATGACAAGTAGTGGTCCCATTCTGATGGGCCTTGTGCACACAGGAGGTGCTGGGCAAGGAAGAGATTAAAGTGCAGCCAGGAGGGACCAGTGACCACCAAGAAACAGGAGAGGGGAGACCTGTCAGCACTCTGCGAGGACAGGAGCTTTAGATGTGGATGGTTTTTCACATCCGGTAACCAGGGGCCCAGACGGGCCTCACTTTCTGCAGCTGCACCCTCGTCGTGAATGCCCCTCCTCATTTCCTTGGTAGGGCACGTCCGTGATGCATGGGTGGGCTCAATGGTTCTGCCTCCACCCTGTGCCCTGAAATCAACCTGATGCCCTTAAACCACATGGCCAGGGACTAGTTTGTGGCAATTATCTAGGACTCTTATGAGATTTTAGTGTCTTTGGTTACATGTTCTCAAGTTTCCTCGGCTTTTGATCCTGTGGGCTTGTCTTATTCTGGCCCCAAATGAATCCCTTGGAATTGATCCCAGATCAAACCTTTCTGGACTTTGATCCCAGGACACTGACTATCTTCGTGCTCAGGCTCTTCCTGTTCCAGCGGACCTGGCCCAGCCCTCAGGGAGCCCCTTGCTGCCTCTGACAGTGCTCTCTGTCCACTTAAGTGGATGAGGAGTTCAAGTTTCCTGCAGGTTCGACAAGGGACCCAGGTTTCCCGCTGTCCCCATGTTCTCTTCTCCCTTATGAGAGGTGCTGTAGGCCTCGTTCACTCTGTAAGGCCTATAACACTGAACTCAGTGCCCCAAACCACTTAGGTGTTGGTGGGACGTACCATGGAGAAAGTGGCAAGGTCCACGTGTGATGGCTTCATTCAGCCACCCTCATTCTCCTACCTCTTCGTTCACTTCCTAGACTAAGCACTTCTCTCCTCCCTCCCTAAAAAAGCAAAACACGGCCAGGGCTCGCACGGGGCCATGTTTTATTAGCAAGGAGGCTGCTGTGACTTGAAAGTCTTCCTGGAGCAGATCCTGGCTAACTAACAGGAGCCCGGCCATCTCGTTTCTTGAAGAGCCTAATGGGGCAGGTCTGGCTTGGTCTCTGTCTAGATTATTGTCTTAGAGACAAAGGTGGGAAGCAGGAGGTATTGCCCAGATGTTGTCTTACAGAGCCACCACGTTTCCATAGAGCTAGCTGTTAACTGCCTGCTTCCTATCTCTGGGAGAAGTGTCCTCAGATGCTCTGGGTCCCTGGCCCCACAGGCCACTGTGAGCTCCTGGCAGAGTGGAAGGAGAGGCTAGGGCTTTAGACATGACCCCACAGTGGGACTGAATTTCTAGGGGAAGCTTGTCACTGGTTCCCTAGACAGAGGCCAGTGTGAAGAGGGGCCCTGAAGGCATCATGACCCCAGGTCGGACAAAAAGGACCGGAAGACACCCCTGTCCTGGAAACAGCTCTTTACTGAGTCAGTAATAGTATGTCGCATGATATTATCGTATGTAGACAGGTGTTACATGGCCACGGGGCAGGCAGTGCAAACCAGTTGCACGTCCAGGACAGTAAGGAAGGTGGCAGGAAGCCTTTGAGTGGGGAAGGGCTGGCCTCTGCTTCTGTGTTGGGGAGGAGATAGCTCCATGCCCTGCCCCAGGGCTGGTCTGAGTCTGTCTGAACACAAAGGCAGGGTAGGTTATAGCAAGTGTGGCCAAAGGGAGGCCTTCACCCAGTGTGGTGACTTCCTAGCACCCCTTTCTGCCAGTGTGCACAGGAAGTTGGCAGGGGCTGAGGGTGGTGGCTGAGAGGGCCTCTTGTGCATGTCCAGACCCCTCCAACTCCTAGTTCCACTGGCTGCACGCAGAGAGGGCTCAGGCCACTCTGGGTCCTGGGGCACAGGCCAGCCTGGGGTAGGGGGGCAAGGGAGGCAGTTATGCAGAGAGAATCCCCCACCTCCACCCTGCCTGCCTCTGCCTGCTGCCTCCAGCTCCCGGGGAACACGCAGGCAGAATGTTCCAGTGCCTACAGTCTCCCCACACAGATGAAACTCCTGCTTAGATTCTGTCCAGGCCATTCCGGAGAGACAGAGGCAGGGATGAAGTAAGGAGTTTTCTGGACGTTTGAAAAGAACATGGTGAACTTCTCAGGCACACAGTGGGCAAAGCCTGAGAACACTGGCCCTGGTGGCCTCACTGGCCCCACGGACTCCACCATTATGGGGAGGAACTTAAGGTTTCCAAATCCACCTCATCTCTGGAGTTTTGACTACAATGCCCTGCAGAGGTCTCCATGGGCTTTCCAGCCAAGAGGAACCCGGGAAGTTGCTGGTCAGCATGGGTGTGAAGACACTGGTCACCAGAGATGAACACAGGACATTTCCACCCCCCCCCCCCGAGGTAGCCACCTCCCTGGCAGGCTCAGTCACAGGGAAAGGGGCTCCTTCTGCCCTTTCCTCCTACTCAGCCAGGGGGGCCAGGCAGCCCCCCAGCCAGGAGGACACTGTGCGTGTCATGTGCACATGTGCATGTATGTATGTGTGTGCATGTGTGGGCGTGTCTGTGTGAGTGCATGTGTGTGCAGCTATGCACGTGTGCAAACATGTTTGTGCCGGTGTGCACATGTGTGTGTGTGTGCTTATAAGCATGAGCGCATGTGTGTGTACAGCTGTGCACATGTGTGCGTGTTTGTGCAGGTGTGCACATGTGTGTGTGTTGTACTTGTAAGCCTGAGTGCATGTATGTGAACAGCTGGGCAAGTGTGTGTGCGTGTGACTGTGTAAGTGCAGGCGTGTGTGTATATATGTGTATGTGCAGGTGTGCACCTGTGTGTGCATGTGTAGGGGGCTGCTTTCCTATGGTACAGTCACTATGGGGGAGCACAAAGCTGCAGGATCATCCCTGGGGGACCCCCTCCTCAGAATAGAAGAATCATAATTGTCTGTTGGAGAGGCTTTCTGGGACGCTCAAGCTGAGCCCCCTCTGGCACCCTGTGTGGCCGTGTGTGGGCCAGCGACCCTCCTCAGTAGGCACTCTAACTTCCTGGTGGGCCTGGGGGCCCGGGGAGGCCAGGTGGACCCTGGATCCCTGGCTCACCCTTAGGCCCCACGGCCCCCCTCTGGCCTGGGGAACCTGTCTTCCCTGCAATCCCTGGTTTTCCCTGAGGCCCCTGTGGCCCTGGGGACCCAGGGGGCCCCTCTGGCCCTGGGGGCCCCACATCCCCTTTGGGGCCTGGTGGTCCTCTTGGCCCTCCAGTTCCAAAGCTGCCCTTTGAGCCTTTGAGGCCTGGGAATCCCCGAGGGCCAATCGGCCCCTCCTCTCCCATAGGTCCAGCCTCTCCGGGGTGCCCCTGAGGACCCTGGGGTCCTGGGGGTCCCAAGCCACCACGGTCGCCTTTAGGTCCTCGGCCACCAGCAGGCCCTTTCACGCCCACATCGCCTTTGAGTCCTCTTGGTCCTGGAGGGCCGGGGGCACCTGGGATTGGAGAGAGAAAGTGGGAGAGGTCAGTCTGGGAGGGGAGCCTGCCCAAGGCCTACCACAGAGGGTCAGACAGAAGATAAGCCCAGGCCACACCTCTGGGCTTGGGGATCACAGGCTGACTGCTGGCTCCTGTGTGTTGGTTTAGCATTTGGGGACCTTCAGGGATGAGAACAGCAGATTCTGTGTGACAACATGTGTCGGCGTCCAGCACAAGGCCTGTGCGTGGCATTCCCATAGTATTCTGACTTTGAGAATAGTCCACAGCTCTGGGACTGGGGTCATGCACCCAAGGTGAGGACTGAGAGAGCGGATCATTCCAGGGAGAGGCCCCGGTTGTCCACAGTTGTCAGTCCCAACTTGAGGTGGGTCTGGCCTCCTCCACCTCCTCATGGCCTATGCCTGCTGCCCTCTCTCCCTGCCCACCCCCATGACCCCCCAGGTTTCTGGGAACAAAGTGGAGCCAGGGGACATGGAAGGAAAGCCAAAAAGCCGTGAGCAGCAGGTGCGGCCCAGTGTGAGCAGGTGTGGTGACGGCCCAGAACAAGGGCAACCCCTCTAGGAAGCCCCCCTGGACCATTCTAGCCTCTCTGGCTCTCAAGGCTTCTACTTTCTGACCTTGTAGTTGACACATAGAAAGAGAAGTCACAGTGCAGGGAAAGCAAACACAAGGAGCCCTGCTAGACGGGGGAGCCCTGGAAGATGGTGAGAGCACGGAGCCCATTGTGCAGCTGGGGGCTCTCTCTGCATGCCGGGAGAAGGTGGTTCACCAAGCAATTGTGGACCCTGCTAAGGGCCTGGGTCCAGGAGACATGGAGATGAAGATATGGCCCTTCCTTAGGAGCCCTGCCCTGTGTCCATGTCAGGTGTCAGATGACCTTACGCCCTCTAGCTGTGCAGGTCTAAGGGTCTGCACCTCTCAGAGCTGTGCCAGCTCTGAGGACACAATGGAAGTGCCCATGATGCTCAAGCATGTTAGCACACATTAGGGGCACGGAGGGAAGAGAGCCACCTGGCCCCATGAGGACAGGAGTGGTGGAAAACAACAGCTTTAGCCTTCATGGGCACAGCGTGGACCTGGCTTTCTTCAGTGGCCTGAGCGAGGGATCAGTGGGTGGGGCTGCCAGGAGCTGTGCGCGCCAGGGCTGGGCTGGAAGATGAATTCTGACACTCAGGCCCTGGTCCTCCTGAGAGCTCTGCTGTTTAATCAACCCAATTTGCAATCGAATCCTGGAGTTTTTGAGCTCCACGGGACCTTGTCCAATTCTTTCATCTCCCAGAGGAGGCAGCTGAAGCTGAAGAGACAGCTTGATGCCTTCCTGGGCAGAAATTGGAGCCCAGGTGGGCCTCTGGGGCAGGGGCTCCCTGAAGTGCCATAATTCAGCTCCAGAGCATTTGGCTCTCCCCGTCCCATGTTCCCCCATCTCTGCTGTCACTCCTCCGTCTCCTCCTGGAGTATTTCTGAGTGAAAGAGAGTGTCAGTGAATACTGTCCTCTACTATGATCTAAATTGGACACCAGAGCCCACAGTCAGCTCCTACAGAGCCAACGAAGACCTTCTGGGAAGTTTCCAGCCACCGCCTGCCCATGCCCACCTCCCGGGGTGGGGCCATGGCCCTGCATCAGCTCACGTGGCATGCCTGCAGCAGGGGCTCAGATTCTTCAGTGAGCTGGCCAGGGTGAGGGGTGGCTGGCCGTGTTGGCAGCAGCCTGGCCTTGGAGAAGCCAGAAGGCCAGGGCAACACACCGGAAGGTGTAGGCTGGTATCCACTCAGGGCCTGCCTCCCCACCCTGGCAGGACGTGCTGGGAACTGGCAAAGCCACAGCATCTGTTTTCACCCCTGCTCTGCTCCTGGCCTCTGGTCTGGGCAGGGTTTGGAGAAGCAGAGAAATATTCAGAGGTGGAGAGGCCTTGCAAGGCCATGGAGAGCACCACTGGGCAAGCCCCTCTCGCCAGCCCAGAACTCCAGTTTCTTACAGTACTAAGGGCAACACTTAGTTTCCAGTGGTCCCTACGGCTCCATGACCCCACACTGCCACTCCCTCCCTACAGGGCAAGCCCTTGCAGATGCCTTGGCCCCCTGGGTCCTTCTCTCCACTCTTGCCCTTTGGGGAATGAGTCCACAGTCCCCATCTCCAGCCTCCACTCTGGAAAAGGCTGGGAAATCTCATCTGGACAAGGATGGCTGCCCTGCCCCCAGGCCCAACTGAAGACCCCTCACTTTCTTCCTGGGACTCCCAGGGACAAAGACAGAGATAGAGGCCCCATCTTTGTGGGAAAGCTTTTGGCATCTTTCCCTAGAGAGAGGGCCCAGCACCCCCATATGCTGCTGGTGGACGCTGGTACAGAAGCCTTGATCACACCACCCACTTCGTTGCCCAGGGGCTGCAGCCCTGAGTGAGGGGAGGGAGGATGTAAGGAGAAGGGATGCCCCTCTCTCCATGTCCACTATCCCCCAACTCCTGGCTGTGCCTTCTACTGCTGGCCCCATCTGTGAGAACCTGTGTGTGTCCCCGGAGACAGCTGTGAGATCGTAGCTGGTGCCATCAGGGCCTGTCTGCATGTCATAGGCCTTTGAGAGGAGGCCTGTGCTGCAGAGAGATGCCTGCCTCTGCTGCCCATGACACAGGCCAGCGGACGGAGCCTGCATCATGCTGGGTGTCTGGGTGGCCCACGTGTTAGCTGGTGTGGCCTGCCTTCTTGAGTCTCCCATAGGAGAAGAAAGGACCATGAAAACAGCCAACACTTGTCAACATTTCTCTACTGCTATGTTCCTGGCAGGAAGTTGTCCCCTCACTTCACAGATGAGAATCATGGTGCAGAAGGGGGTGACTTGCTTGGTCAGGGATGGAGATGGAGTCAGACAAGAGCCCCTGAGACTCATGCTCCTGTCTGTGCTGCTGATCGCACCACACCTGGGACTCCTGAGCCTCTCTAACCCTCCTACAGCCGGAGCCTCAGGTCCTGCTGCCTCCTGGAGGAGGGGAGGGACCCTGAACCCTCTAAGAGCACTGAGAGTTCCCATGGAGCAGAGGGGGACTTTGGAAGAGTGTCTTCCTCAGGTGACCAAAGCCCCGCCTGTCCCTGTGGTCTAGCCATGAGTCATGCGGTCGGCAGGAGAACTGGGCATGACCTAGTCTGGCCAGAAAGCATGTCAACAGCTGTAGTTTAGTGGTCAGCTGCGGGGGAGGGAACGTGGGTGGAGGATGACCATGGTGCCCTCCAGGATGGTATGCCCCCTGACCCATTGGCAGAGTGAAGGGCAGAGGAGGGAGGGCTGATGGCCACTCTGAGCAGGGGGTGATGTCTCAGGCCAAGGAGGGGGCCTGAGCAGTGGGGGCGGGAGAAGGTCCAGTGTACCCTGGAGTCTGGAAGACCGTGATTACTCAGGAAGTCACAGGCTGTAATCAGGCTCTCCAGCCCATTAGGGTCCAGCCACAGCTGACTCCATGTCTGGGACCTGTGGGGTGGCTTACTCTGCTGTCTGCACTCAGGCAGGGAGGGGCTGTGGGTGGGCAGAGTACACTGTGTCTCAGGCACCAACACTGCCCATTGACAGGTGGGGTGGTATAGAGCCTGCACACATCATGGCCAGAGGCCACCAGCTAGCTCACAAGGACAGAGGGAAATAAACCAGGGGACTGGCCTGGTGCCATGAGAGGCACACTGGCTTGGACATCAGGCACCCAGGTTGAGTTCCAGCTTCAGTATTAGCAAATTGGGTGGCTGGATCCCAGGCTCCCTCTCCTCAGTGACAACACTGGCCCGGTTGTTGTCACCTGAGAAGCTCTGGAAATGTGCCCCACCTCTGCCTGTGATGGACTAGTTTATAAAAGACTAAACCGGCTCGGCGCCTGTGGCTCAAGTGGCTAAGGCGCCAGCCACATACACCCAAGGTGGCGGGTTCGAATCCAGCCCGCCGGGCCCGCCAAACAACAATGACGGCTGCAACCAAAAAATAGCCGGGCGTTGTGGTGGGCCCCTGTGGTCCCAGCTACTTGGGAGGCGGAGGCAGGAGACTCGCTTGAGCCCAGGAGTTGGAGGTTGCTGTGAGCTGAGATGTCATGGCACTCTACCCAGGGGGACAGCTTGAGGCTCCTGTCTCAAAAAAAAAAAAAAAAAAAGACTAAACCTCCCACTGAGAACAGACAGAACTTTTGGAAAAAAGGGCAAAACATCTCTCTGAAGGCTTTGGGGGATCCCAGGGAAAAGGGGACTCAGTGGGGTGAGCCTGATGACATCCTTTGTAGCTCTTCCTCTCAAGGCATTTGTGAATCTGTAACTGGTTTGAGCAGAGAGGCTGAGAAGCCAAAGAAAGGTGGTGCTTACGGAACAGTGAGTTTGCAGACTTAATTCCCTTGCGTCTTGCACGTCCTGGGCTTCCTCCCTGTGATCATGTTTTACTTATGCATTCACTGAGCAGAGATTTCTTGAGTACCATCCAAGGCCCAAGCACTCTGCTAGGAGTCCAGGCCACTAGCAATTTAGCTTCATAATGATCCCTTCCATAGGACATCCTTTCAGGGGTGCCCAAACTGTGGCCTGTGGGCACACTATTGGTTCTGCTTCTCTGGAGATGAGAAGGACAGGTGGGGGATGGGGAAAAGAGCACATCAGAGCAGCAGCCTCCAAGGGGCAAGGGATTGGGTGGCTGAGAGGACTAAGGAGGGCGGGGGAGGAAGAAGCAAAGAGGAGAATTTCCAAAAGACAAGTTCCGTGTGTCTATGTGGAACCAATTAAAGAAATGCATGTATAAAATTCCAGATTAGTATGATAGGCAAAGTCAGAAGCCATAAAGACCTTTACAAAAAAGACTTGCAAAGACGTTTCTTAAAGCTGCCCATTGCTCTAGGCATTTGCTGTAGGATTGTGTTGGCCCATCAGCATTTCACCTAAAACCAGGTGTCTGGCAAGATCACCAAGGCCTACCCAGTGGCAGCTCCGTGGCAGTCCTGCCTAGATCCCTCTGACACTTACCTCGGACGATGGTGACATTGCGAAGGATTTCTCCATGCTGCGTGTCCACGGCCTTCATCTCCTCCACGATCATGGAGAGGTTCCGGACATTGAAGTCCAGCCGGGCGCTGAGCAGGCCGAAGCGCTCCCGGAGCAGGTCCGTGGTGCCCAGCATGAGGGAGACGGACTTGTTCAGGTAGTAGAGCTCCTCGGCGTGCGTGTGGAAGCCCAGCGTGCAGGACAGCCGCACGTCGTCCAGGTACTTGAGCATGCTGTGCACGTGGTTGTCGGTGGCGTTGATGTTGGTGAAGATGGTGCCGATTTCGATCTCATGCGATGCCATGCGTCCCTCCAGGGACTCGAACCTCTCTGCGGTGCGGTTCTGGGCGTAGCGGGTGTGGTACTGGAGATCGTGCATGCTCTCTTCGTGGTCGTCCAGGAAGGACGAGATGTTGTCCAGCTGCAGCTGCAAGCCCATGACCTGCAGCACCAGGTCGTGCATGCTCTCCGAGTTCTGGCTGATGCGCTGTGAGGAGGAGCCCAGCGCCGCTTGGATGTTCTTGACCGCCTCCCCCGTCTTGGTGGAAGTGGTGCGCAGGCCGCTGAAGAGCCGGGTGTAGTTCTGCCAGTCCGTGACGATCTTCTGGAGGGTCAGGGTCTCCTCGTCCGTCTTGCGCTGAATCCCGTGGATCCAGTCGGACGTCTGCCCCACAGTGAAGTTGATCTGGTGCACAGCAGCCTTGACATCATAGCACTCCTGGGTGAGGTCCTTCAGAGAGAGGTCCAGGTTGCCTGTGGTGGCCTGCCAGCCCCTCACCTGGGCCAGGAAGAACCCCAGAGACTGGTTGACCTGGTGGATGGAGAAGGAACAGCTGCCCATCTCCTGGGAGATCTGACTGCTGGTGGTAGACAGCAGTTCATGGGCCCGAGAGGTCTGGGCCAGCTGAGCCTCCTGGGCCAGGAGCATCTTCTGAATCCCCTCCAGCTCCTCCTGCAGTTTTTGGATCTCTAGCCCCAGTTGCCCAGCTTCGTGGCAGAAAGAACAGTTGTCCAGGGCTTTCGGATCTTCAGGAGAAAGAGACAACAGTTTGAGATGCTGCAAGGTCACGGTTCTACGGTTCTTCTTTAAATAATTTCAGAGTACAGTGAATTGGCAAGTGGCTTCCCAACCACTCTTCCTTCCCTAAGTCCTGCTAGTGAGTAGGGTGCCGGCCACATGCACCCAGGCTGGCGGGTTCAAACCCAGCCTGGGCCTGCTGAACAACAATGACAACTGCAATCAAAAATAGCTGGGCGTTGTGGCAGGCACCTGTAGTCCCAGCTACTTGGGAGGCTGAGGCAAGAGAATCGCCTAAGCCCAAGAGGTTGCTGTGAGCTGTGATGCTACAGCACTCTACCAAGGGCGACAAAGTGAGACTATGTCTCTAAAAAGAGAAAGAAAGAAAAGAAAGAAAAGAAAAGCCCTTGCTGTCCCCAGGGGATCTCATTGTTAGCAAAAGTCTTGACTGTGATCTGAAATGTAGGATTTGGGACCCTTCCGCTATCTCACCACCAAATTCTCAACAATATATCTTCCTAACTTTTCTGAGACAGTCACGAACCTCCCGTTTAAACTTCGTTTAAAGATTTCTCCAAATACTGTGGTTTTAAATCTGTTACCGTCTCACAATAAGCTTGCAGGGAAGGTGTGCAGGGATTTTCACCCATAGTGCGTGAAAAACGGAAGCACCGGGAAGTGGCTTGCCAAATAGCACTGAGTGAGTTAGTGCCAGACTGGAATATTCTATTTGCATCAGAGCAGACCGGCTCTAAACCCCCTTAGTACTGCTGCTCTGTCCCTTCTTTTTAGCATGTTCCTTGTTAAAGCAGGAGGTTAAAAGCACCACAAATTGTGGCCCGTCTTCAGGCAGCGATGGGAAAGGGCTGACCAGTCAGGAGGTTTGGAAGGTCTTGAAACTCATCATTTCAAGGATAATTTGGGAATGGACTATACTTAGCTTCCTTTTCTGCCCGTAGGCTCTGGCTAGGTCTGTGCCCCACATGGGACTCCGTGCCTCAACCCTGGGTATATCCCAAGGTAGCAGCCTCTTCCACTGAAAATAAACGAGCTGGAAAGGGGAGCAGAGGGCCAGGACTTCCTTCTCTTGGGCCTGGAAAGCTGGTGAGGGCTGCCCTGCTCTGGGCACCCTGGCCCAAGGAGGGCATACTTGACCCAAGCTAATTGGTACCTCCTTTACGCCACCCAGCACACCCACTCACCCAGTCCCCGAAGATTCTCCTCCATCGACACAAGCTTCCTCTCGTAAATGGACTGGGCCAAGGACAGATCTTCTGAGAGAGAGTCCACTTTCCTGAAAACTGTAGGGGAAAAACAGATGAGAGTCTGGGGCAGGTCTGAGTTCAGAGAAACAGCCACGGTTTGTTGAGACGGCGTTTTTATCAGCCCTTCTGGAACCCAAACCATTCACCTTTCTGCTACTGGACTTCCTACGGACTGAGTTCGACTTAAGGCCCTTTTAAAAATAATAAGGCACCTCCCACCCTAGAGTTTAGAAATTTAGAAATAGGACCTGATCGTTGGTTAGAATAGGAAAAAATAAAAAATATATAAAACAGAAAATAAAAATTATTCTTAATCCTACCACCCAGAGATTATGGCCTTCAGTATCTTCATATATTTCTTATTGTCTTGCTTACATCGAGAACCATTCTTTTTTTTTTTTTTTTGGCCAGGGCTGGGTTTGAACCCACCACCTGTGGCATATGGGGCCGGTGCCTTATTCCTTTAAGCCACAGGTGCCGCCCTTGAGAACCATTCTTCACCTACATCTATATAGGTGGGCATCTTGGCTCACGCCTATAATCTTAGCACTCTCGGAGGCTGAGGCAGGTGGATCCTTTAAGCTCAGGAGTTCAAGACCAGCCTGAGAAAGAGTGAGACTCCGTTTCTACTAAAAATGGAAAAACTAGACAGGCATTGTGGTGGGTACCTATAGACCAAGCTACGCGGGAGACTGAGGCAAGAGGATTGCTTGAGCACAAGAGTTTGAGGTTGCTGTGAGCTATGATCCCTAGGTAATAGAGTGAGATTCTGTCAGGAAAAAAAAAAATAGATATATATAGAAGTCCTCCTTGTCCTGGGAAAGAGGGAACGCCTGAAAGTGAGGACAGTACCAAACCCTATATATACTATGTATTATACCATATATAACATAACTAAGATAAAGTTTAATTGATAAAGTAGGCAGTAGGCCCAGTAAGAGATTAATGACAATAGCTTATGGTAAAAAAAAAATACGATTATGACACTATACTCTAATGAAAGTTATATCCATGTATTTGCTCTCTTTCAGAGTATCTCCTTGTACTGTACTCATTCTTCTTGTGATAACATGAGGTGATGATGTAGGCATCATGACACTGTTAGGTCACTACTGACCTTCTGACCGTAAGTCATGGAGCCATAATATAGTCGGTTGACCTCAGGTAACTGAAACCTTGGATAAGAGGTGGCCATGTATATTTTTTAGAAAATCACAGCAAAATTAGGAAGCTCTGAACATCTCATCTGTTTTCTTTTGCTTTGTTGGTATCGTCTGATGGACATTTTTCCATGGATGTTTAAATCACTTTAAAATCATGTCTGCATCACATTCTGTGTAGATGACACAGCAGTTATATAAAAACCCCTTGTGTTGGGGACACTTAAAGTACCTTCTCTCCTGAGCTTATAACTAAAATTTGATATATAAATGAGTAATGCTTGATCCTCGAAATAATCCTTACAGATGATAGCTGTGTATACAGGATGACCCTCTTAGGATAAATTGCTAGAATTGGGCCCAAGGGCATTAACATTTCTGAAATTCTTAATACAAGTTGCCAAACTGCCACCCAAAAGAAGTTATTCTGGTTTACACCCCATGGGCAGCCTCGTACCTTACTAAGGGGGTCATGCTGGCCAGTGGTTACAGCAAGACATCTGGTTTTCTGGTTTTCTCCAAAGGTGCCTGGACAGGCTTTGTAGAGAAAGGAGACCATGGGTTGACTGAGGGTCAGCAAGATGTCCCTCACTAATCCTCTGAATGTCAAGTGCAAAGTGTCACCAAGAGAGATGGGTAACACCGCTGCTAGTCTTAGCTTGCGTCAAATTTGTTGGTGACTTTGGCTAAGTCAATTAACCTTTCCAGAGCTCCGTTTAATCACCCATGAAGTGAAAGTGTAGAGCTAGAAAATTCTAAGGCTCTTATCAGCTCCAAAATTCTATTACTTCAAATGATTTGGAGTCTCTGGGCTCTAGTTAACCTCATACATCTGAGCACTATCAATTTACTTAATTAGTAGCAGCAACATGTGCAGAGGGCCTAGGAACAATCGCATGCTGTTACATGAGACCAGCACTTTACAGTGTAGAATAGTTATTATTCCACTTGACCCTCCCTCCAATTAAGACACAGATGGAGGAACAGACTTCCGGAGAGACTGACTGCCTTGGAGTCCTGTTCTAACACCACGTGAGGTCTGCTCTTAAGCCAATAGCTACGGGCTCACCCACTAGAATTTGTTTACCCCGTTTGTTTCTTCATTGTGCATTTCGTGACTAGTAATTATATAATTTGTTTGTTTAGCCATTTTCCTCACTTTTTAGACCTTATTCTTCTCATCCTTTTAAAATTGTATTTTATAATGTGTACAATATAGTGAAGAGAATGCACATATATTGTATAAGTAAATAGGGATTTTTGGAGCTGTGAGCTTATAAAGTTTTTTGTAACAATTTTCTAAGAAACAGAATAATCAAAAGAGCTTGCACTGTGCGTACTTATCACCTGCATTCTACAATTAGCATTCTGCTGTATTTATTCTATATCCGTCCATCTCTTTTACCTGTCCACCAATCCATTTACATTTTTAAAATCAATTTTTTACTTATGGGGTGCGCTGTTGGAAAAATCCATAGATTACTGTTCTAGAAGGGGGGTTGGCAAATCACAGCCTGCAGCTCAAGTCTAGCCCAAGGCCTGTTTCACCCGGAACAGCGACCCCCATTCATTTTCTTACTACTGCGGCTGCTTTCACTCTGTAAATGGCAGAGTTTGGTTGTAACGAAGATAATCGGTGACCTGCAAAGCTGAAAATGTTTACATTTCAATGTAGACTTTACATGACAAACTTTACAGAAAAAAATTTGCCAAATCCAGCTCTGGACTGTAAACTCCACAGAGGCAGGGCCTGTGTTTCATGAAGCAGTATACCGCCCAGTGACTAGGGCAGTTCTCGGCCTACAGTATGCATGCAAAAAATACTTGATCACATGAATACAGTGGGCTCCTAACATCGACTTTGCCCAAACCTCTGGACTTTGGTCACAGTCCTGATTGTAAAGCATTGACCGGGGCTATTTGCACACATGCGCGTATGCAAATACATGCTCATAAATCTAGTCATTCATTCAGTAAAAACCGGGCACTTAACCAATCAGGACAGGATGGTGCCAACACTGTCCCAGTGATGTGGGATTCCCAAGCTGGAGGCGAAAATGCAAAAAGAAACCTAAAAGTCTCCCTTGATTCACTGGACATGCACACCTCGCCCCTAGTCCTCTGACACTCTGATTATTCATCCTGGGTCTTAGGGCAAATCATGTCACCTTCCCAGATCTGCTCCCTCAAGTGAGGAGTGGGGTCAGCTGCCAAGAACACCCAGGGGCATCATGTACATAACGGCACCTAGGCCTCTGTTGTCCCTTCTGAAATGCTTCAGTGCCTACGCTCTGTTCCAGGCTCGAGCCCGTGGCTGCTGGAGCTTTGTTGATAGCTCCGTCCCCAGGGTGCCGCTGGCTGAGGTCCTGAAGGGGGTGACCAGGAACCAGTTTACAGCTTCTACCACAGCCAGTTTGTTGCCTTTGATTGCTGGGCTGTGGCTCGTCTCCTTCTCTGGCCTGAGATTCTGGCTACTGTTTGAAAGGTCAAATCTTGTGAAGTGATTCAGCAGAGAAAAGCTGAACTAGACAGGGCGGGGAGCTCGGACAGTCCTGCAATCCACAGCTGGCAAAACCAGCTACACATTGGAATCTGCTGAAGAGCTTTTGCGAATGATTAAGGCTGTGTCCTGTGCAGAGACGATGCTTTAATTCTCCTGGTGTGCACAGGGTCTGGGTCTGGCACTGGTATTCCCATACCCCCCTCCCCCGCGTGGGGAGAACCACTCCCTTTGATGATGAGAAGCTGTTCTCAGTGTTCCCTCCACCAACAACAAGCACGTGCCTTATGCCGGATTAATTCACGCCTCCAGATTACTGGAAGATGACTTGTGTCTATTCAAATCATTAATATGTTGGCCAAGAAAGCCAGTTACTGAACACCTCCAGCCAGGCCCAGGTGCCCCTCTCAGCAAGGTGGCCCTCTCATGGTTGGCACCAAGAGCCAGGGCCACCCCTGGTGACTCAATTGCCCCTCCCCATTCCAGGCCTTGTCTCTAATATCTAGTAGGTGGGAACAAACCAACATACCGAAGCCTGGATTTTCCAAGTCTGAGGCTATGGGATTGCAGTGAGACACTACCCAATTTGTTTAGTCCGATTACATCAGGCATCCTCAAACTACAGCCCATGGGGGACATTTATCCAGCCCACCAGGTGTTTTTGCCGCCGCTGCCTGTCCTGCTTAGCAGCCAACTCGTCCCGGGGCCTGCAGTCCGGCCCTCCAATGGTCTGAGGGACAGTGAACTGGCCCCCTGTTTAAAATGTTTGAGGACCCCTGGATTACATAATCTGTTAGCATCCAGAAGGCAGAAGTTACCTGAATCTGGCTGCATGCTATGTCACTAGGGTCAGCTACTGCAGCCATATCAACTGTAGCGCATATGAGAAGAACCACACCTAAGCTCCCCGGTGACTCTAATGCAGAGCTGGTCCTATTGTCTCATTTTACCAATGGGAGAATAAAGGTCCTGGGTAGGGAATGCTTTGCTCTAGGATATATGGCTAATTTGTAGCAGTCTTCACAGTTCAGACTGGGCATTAAGTCTCCTCAGCCAGAAAGATGCTGGTTCAGGGCCCTGGGCTACACATGTCCAGTGTTTGTCTTTGCAAGGGAGTTCTAGGTGCCTGAGCCCTGATCACACAGTCCCCTGTAGCTCGAAAGGCCTGGACTCACCCAGAGAGGCCAGCACGGCCACAGCCACCAGGAGCAGGGCCAGGAAGAGGTAAAGGATCCTCACCGACGTGTGCAGTGACAGGTTCTTCTGGCAGCGGCTGCAGCGGGGCCCTGGCCGGCCTGGGGTGGGGGGTACAAAAGAGGGCAGGGGCTCAGGTCAGAGGCCCAGGCTGGAGGGGCAGTTCCATGTTTCAAATCAGGCTCAGAAAGGGAGTTGTCCTTAATCCTCATTCGAACTTACCCCCTAACTTGCCACTTTCTCTAGGTGCTAGCACTTTCTGGAATAGAGGAGATCAAGGCGGGGTCTTCAAAGCACATCCCCACCCCCATTCTATGGCATCTCTGCTCAGCCCCTGGGGTGGGGAGGCCCCTCTTCCCTCTACACTGGCCCTGCTGATGATCCAGGATGGGACAGCCAGTCCGCTGCACCACTGGGTGACAAACTTGTCCTATTTTGCCAGGCTTTTCTGGGTTTTAGCACTGAAAGTCTCCTGGCATAGGAATGCCTTAGTATATAGGGTAGCCCAGGATGGTTTGTTGAGACTGTCTCAGTTTTTAAAACTGAAAAGTCACACACCCCGGGAAACTCCTCAGTTCTGGGCAAACCAGAAGGTTGGTCAATACTCGTCAAACTTAGCAATAACCAGCAGTTCTCCTAGAAACCAAACGAATGGCTCAGTCCACCAGCCGGGTTGCTGGTGTGGAGGAAGGAAGGTGCCAGGTGTCCCTGGATGCTCTGGCAGGTGGCTGGGGGCCAGCAGGAATGCAGCGATGGCCCAGCTGTGAAATTCCTGGGGCGAGCTCAGCCTGGGCTACATACTGAGTACCAGGAGCACTTATAAGCCCTGACATCCAGGCCACACTCTGGCCGAAAGAAATCAGGACTTCTGCAGTTGGTCCCAGGCATCCCTGGATGATTACAGCATACAGCCAAGGTTGAGAGTGATGCTCTGATCTACGCTGGGGGCCGTGGAGAGGCCCCACTCTGAACAGAAAGTTCAGGCGGCATTGGACATGATGGAGAGGACAGTCTGGGCCAGATAGAAGACAGGCTCTGGGGACAGAGTGTCTGGATAGAGGAGGTAGCAGAAGTCCCTGACAGGACTTAGGAGGAACCCTGGAGGCGGATGGCACTTGGGGCAAACTTTGACTTCTCCCTTACTGTGTAGCCCAGGGCTGTGTATCTCCCCTTTCACTCCCAGGAAGCAGTGAGGAAAGGACAGGCAGGGAGGCCCCCAGCCCAGAGAGGAGATGGCACAGCCCCCAGGGCCCTTACCCTGCTGGGCGCATGGAAAGGTCGGCATGTCCTCGTCTTCACCAGCCAGTTCCTCTTCCGTAACGCACAAGGCATCTCCGTCACCACCAGCTGACCTCACTGTGATGGGGCCAGTGCTGTCAGACCCCAGACCACACCATCCTTCTCCAGCTGCCCATTCATCTATTGGTCCCCACAGCCCATGCCCACCCCCACCCATGGGTCCAAGCCAAGTGAGCTGATGAAAGCTGCAAAAGGGGGGGACAGGTGTGAGAATCAAGTGGCTGAGGAGCTGGGATTTCCCACCTGTCTGTGTAAGGAGAGTTCCCCATCTCCCACGAGCCGAGAAAGACGCACAGGCCAGCTCAGCAGTCTACTCTATCTGTAGCTGCTTAGACCCCTGGGGGTGGGATAAGAAGACATAAGAGCTGGTTGCTTGGTGTGGCTCAGCGTCCTTCCATTCCCTGACACTTGGGAACCAAAGCAGAATTCCTGTTCTCCAGGGATGGGGTTGAATGTGGTCCCAGCATATTCTCCACTGAGACTCTGCATCCAGCCCAGCACCAGGGGCTGTGGAGAGGAGGGAGCCAGCAGTGGGAGGACACGGGATGGGCACAGACCTGTGCCTCGCACTGGCACACCCAGGACCTGCCAGGGCATCCAGGGAACCGTGAGAAGAGCAGGTCTCAGGTCTGAAGGCCGATCCCATTGTGTGTTCTCTGGAGCACCTGGTCCCCAAATAAGACCTAAATGACCTCATTCAGTAGAGTGCTCCAGTTCCCAGACACCTCACACCTCCTCCTCCCTGTAAATCCTGGTCTTTTACAAACAATGAAGAGAAAGACCCCTAAAATATGGCTGGCCGAGCCAAATCCTGGAGGGGTGTTTAAGAAATGAGAGATGGGGCTCAGCGCCTATAGCTCAACCGGCTAAGGCGCCAGCCACGTACACCTAAGGTGGCGGGTTCGAATCCCCAGCCCGGACCAGCCAAACAACAATGACGGCTGCAACCAAAAAATAGCCGGGCGTTGTGGCGGGCGCCTGTGGTCCCAGCTACTTGGGAGGCGGAGGCAAGAGATTCGCTTGAGCCCAGGAGTTGGAGGTTGCTGTGAGCTGAGATGCCACGACACTCTACCCAGGGGGACAGCTTGAGGCTCTGTCTCAAAAAAAAAAAAAAAAAAGAAATGAGAGATGGTCTGGATTGCACTAACCAGGGCATTTGTCCCCTTCTGGGACCACTGCAGTTTGATATCTTAGCTTGGATCACCCACATGTGCACACAGCTCCTGGGACCCTAGACCCATACTAGACCCATAGGAGGGCACGTCCATGTTTACCTAGCTTGGCCCTTTTCTCCTTGTCTAGAGTCTCTGAAGACATCAGGTTTGTGCCAGCTCCCTGGCAGACAGATTCCTCCCCACCTCACCCCCCAGGCCTCTTACACCCTGTTTTCAACAAGCTAACCTCCTGGAGTGACAGTCACAATCTGTAGTGACAGGAATGACACATACCCCTCAGTAGGAGGCTATGACCAGTCAAAAGACGTGGGGCCAAAATGACCAGAATGCCTGTCTTAGGCTGCACAGCATGACAGCAGCCTGGGAGGGGCACCTTCCAGCAGTGGGAAACCTGTGGCCTTCTGATTTTAGGATGGTTCTTTTAAGCACCAAAGGAGGCAAGAAAAGCTTCATCTTGCTGTGCTGCACCCCTATTAACCAAAGGATTTGGTCTATGAAATTTGGCTTTAGGCTGGGCACCCGTAGCTCAGTGGGCAGGGCGCAGGCCACATACACCAAGGCTGGCAGGTTCGAACCCAGCTAAACAACAACAACTGCAACAACAACAAAAAATAGCCGGGCATTGTGGCGGGCACCTATAGCCCCAGCTACCTGGGAGGCTGAGGCAAGAGAATCACTTAAGCCCAAGAGTTTGAAGTTGCTGTGAGCTGTGACGCTACAGCACTCTACTGAGAGCAACATAGTGAGACTCTGTCAAAAAAAAAGATATTTGGTCATAGTCAAAAGGCCACATTTAAAAGATCTAGAGGACCATATGTCCTGTCAGATAGGTCTCTGGTCCAGCTGCCCTCCTTGTGCCAGTCACAGCCTTCTGCCCACCCCTCCCCTCATAATCCTCATGTACCCAAGACTCTAGATTCTTGGTCCCCGGCTTCTATGTTGTTGACCTGTCTAATTTCAGCTCCTAATGTAATTAATTTCCTTCCTCCCTCCCTCCTTTCCTTCCTCCCTCCCTCCCTAAGAAATCACCCTTCCCAGCTCACCCCTGTGCCTTGGGCCACTGTCCCATCAGCAATCTGCCAGCAGTTTACAAGGATAACTTGGCCTGGGTGGCTACCAGGATTACAGTCTCTTTCCCATAAATGACTGCCTGGGTGAGGCAGCTGGAGTTCTTTGGTGCCTTTTGTGTCCGCCTGATCAAAATCTTACTCTGCTAGCTGTGGTCTCTAACCCCCAGAGGATCCCATCAGAGCCACGCTGCGGGCTGAGGGATTTATAACCACTGCCCTCTGGGGGGATGCTCCTGCCAATCCTTAGCCAGACGCCGTCCAGGCCCTGTTCCTCACCTTCCCCCATCCCTTGATGGTGCTCCTCTTCCTCCCCAGAGACAGGGCCTCCTCCCTGTTCTGGCTCCAGGGTCAATTTCATCACTTCGCTGTTTATAGCCTTTGCAGGGAATCTGGGATGATTTAAATCAAGCAAGGCTGACATTGACCTTTAGCAACACCCCGTCAAAAAGCACACAGCTTTGTCATAACCTGCTGTCCCAATGAGACCCCTCCAAATTAATAATATGCGGCCAGTGGGAATTAGTAATGACTGCTTTTTGGCACCACACAGAGTGGCCCATGGGAAGGGAAGTGACGGCTGCCAGCGTGGATCCCTGATCTCTCTAGAACAGAGGCTCTGAGTGTTGGGCCATCTTCCCTTCACTGACATCTCAGCTCCATCTTCTCTCCTTAATCCCTTGCATTTCCTGTTCTCCAGGGCTGCGCCCAGACCCTGGGGACCCCTGCTTTACCTATGTCTGGAATGTTGTAACACCCCCGCCCCCTTTAGCCTTGTACACTTAAAGAGAACATAATCCAAAGCATTTGTGAGGCCTTTATAAACCCAGCCCTCTGTAAGCACAAGCTCATTGTGTTCACATTACACCGAGCTTGCTCTGGGCAGGGTATAAATGAAGAAACAGACATGGAGAATGAAAAACCTTGGCTGAAAACACGGAGCGGTGACAGATTAGAGGGTGACCGATAGACAAGAATCTGTGCTCGCCCCGGCACTGCCCCCCCCCCCGAGTCCGTAAAGATGGGACGAGAATGTCCTTCCTTCTTCTTTCCCTATTTCCCTGACTTCGGCAGCAAATGATGGCACTGGGTGCCCCAGGCTTCCAAAGTGGTTTTAGGGACAGAGAACCACAGCCTGGGAGAGTGGGAAGGGAATTTTTAAGTCCGCTGTATAATTCATGTTACAAAGGCTTAGAGAGGTTAAGTGACCTGCCAGCTGGCTGGCACTTCCTAAAAGTCCAGGAATCTGTAGCAAGAGGCAAATGTGCACACAAGTGTACCCCGCAGAGCTCCACATTCCTGGCTGAGAGGGCCCACGGAGCTGGGACAAGGCAGGCCTGACGTCTGCTTACACACCCGGAGCCTCCCAGCGGTTTGCTACCTCCAGGGCTCGGGGAGACACCCTCCACTCATCCAGCACAGGCGACTGCACAGTGGGTTTCCAACCCTTTCAATCGGAAGCTCATTTTTATCAAAAAGTGAAGATTAATGACTTATAATGTGCCTTAAATCTACCTGAGAGTTCTCCACGGCTGGGGGGTGCTGGAGAGTGCTGAGGTTGCAAAGGCTCAGAGCAGTAGAGGCAACATGAGCACAGCAGATCTCGTGTTTGACCTGCAAAGGAACGAACTGGATGGGGAGGCGGGGGCAGCACAGTTTAGATTCTGCTTTTCCACCCCTTCCCAGAACGAGAGCAAGGGGTTTGCTAGTCCTCTCTTAAAGCTCAAGAGGCTCTTGTCTGGACATGGGGTACAGGAAGGCTCTGTTTTTTTCCCATTGTTGTCCTGGCTCATGGCCTTACAATCCTGCCAGCCTGTGGTCTGTTGAGATAGGGACAGGGCTCTGGTTCCTGCCTGCATCACACCAGACCTCATTCTTCCTGCAGCCATCACTATCCAAATTGCAGGCAGTGTCTTTAAAAGAAAACAAATGTCAAGGCTTGGCGCCTGTAGCTCACACAGCTAGGGCACCGGACGCATGCACCGGAGCTGGCGGGTTCAAATTCAGCCCGGGTCCACCAAACAACAATGACAACTATAACCAAAAAATAGCCCTCCTCAGCTACTTGGGAGGCTGAGGCAAGAGAACTACTTAAGCCCATGAGTTTGAGGTCGCTGTGAGTTGTGACACCATGGCACTCTACCCAAGGCAAGAGTTTGAGATTCTGTCTCAAAAAAAAAAATAAAATAAAAAAATCAAGTAGCATTTGAAGGCCAGAATTGCTAGCCCAGATCCATGATAGTGGCATCATAGGAGATTTGAAAGGGCCTCTGTTCCTCTTCCCTTAGGTCCTAATATCTAACTCAAACATCAGAAGCACAGACACAGAGGAAGAATTACTCTCTTTTGGTTTGGTTTTGAAAACCTCTGCTCCCCCAGAGCCACGTAGCAAGTTTGCTGGAAGGTGTGTGCAGGGCACACTGGCTGCCGCTGGTTCATCTCTCCCACTGGGGATGGAAAACGGCCCGGACCTGTTAACCAACTTCTAACTCAACTGTGGTTCCCCACGCCAGCTTTCTTTTGGTTGACCAAAAATGTGGAGTTGGTTGACTCTTTCGCTTTTCTGGGCCTGCCTTCTTCCATCCGAGTTAGCAAGAGGGAGGGATTCGAGGAATTGAATAAAAGGTCTTTCTTTGGGCACCTCAAGGAACATATTTTGATGATTATCTTCGGCAGAGTTCACAGAGTGGGTTTTCAAAACAGCCAATTGGGTCAGTAAAAATGAAGATTTCAGAGTCTTCTCAGGAGCTATATTTAAAGTACAGAATAGCTATAGTTTAAGATTGGAGAATGCTATAATTAAGGTTGCAAAATTGATTTTATTAGAGTCCTCCTGCCACACACCCCACGGGCTTCCTTTGTGGGTTTGTCTACGATCGTTGGGAATCTGTCTGCCCCACTCAACTCTAAGGCAT